GGCTCCAGCCACATACACCGAGGCTGGCAGGTTAGAACTTGGCCCAGGCCAGTTAAACAACGACAACTACAACAAAAAGTAGCCAGGTATTGTGGCGGGTGCCTGCAGTCCCAGCTACTTGGGAGGCTGAAACAAGAAAATCACTTAAGCTCACAGGTTTGAGGCTTCTGTGAGCTGTGATGTGATGGCACTCTACCAAAGGCGACACAGTAAGACTGTCTCAAAAAAAAAAAAGTCTCTCAAGTAATGAATGGATAGTATATACATACAATAGAACACCATAAAGCCTTAAAAGGAATGAAATTTTGCAACTTAGTATGGGATTAAAACCATTTTCCAGATAAATAAGAAACATATGCATCCATTTAATAAGTATTTATTAGGCATCCATTATCTAATGCCTATTCATTATCAGACACTTATCTAGACAGTGGGGATACTAAACAGAGTCCTGAACCTCAAGGAACTTAAATTCTAATGGGATGATATAAACTAGATGGGAGGGGAGAAGAAAACAGACAATGAGCTGTCCACAGAGACAATTAAATTTGGGCAACGTATATCCTGGGCCATCTCAGATTGAACAGTTATAAATTATAGGACCTGAAAAGATCTGAACAACAATAAGAAACCAACAAAAGATCAGAAAGAAAGAAGAACATTCCAGTAGATGGAACAGCAACGCAAAGGCCCCAAAGCAGAAAGAACTTTCTCTTGCATAAGGGTAGAGAAATGCCAGTGGGTTTGAAGGGAAAGGGAAAGGAAGAGGAGGAAGGGGGAGAAGAAAAGGGAGAAAAAAGAAGAGTTGTAAGAGGTAGACAGAAGCCCCAGAATTTTAGTCCAGTGTATTTCCTACCTTCTGTATTTCCTACCTTCTGACATGCAAATATCTTACCAATCGGTCCAGAGTAGTTGCTGCTTCCTACTCACTAGATTAAATCAGCATAATGTCACCAGCGTGATATCTTGTGGGAAGGAAAGATTAAGATTCCTGAGAACTAAACTGTGACAGGGCTGGAGAGTGAATATACCCCTAAGGTAGGACAGTGAAGGTGCTGGCCTTGCCAGTGAAAAGCAAACTGCTTCTGAGAAACAGGTAAGGAGAAAAGCTGCATACCAGGTACCAGGAGATTTACTCAAGGAATGAAACCACACCTGATTAGCAGCTGCAACTGGAGTCACCACTTGGTTAAGCTTAAGATAATCAACTGTCATTCTCTAGAATCCATCTGTTCTGCACAAGGCCACATAGGAGAGTTCAATGGGGGGATACGGTAGAAATTACCACCTCTGCACCTTTTAAGTCCTTGATACCAGCACTAATCTCTGCACTCCCTCCAGGAATGTGATATTGTTTTTAATCCACTACTTTCCTAGATACAGGAAGCGCTAGTGGCTTCCATTAGACCTTTCCCACCATAATATCCTCTACTCCACAGGTTAGGGAACCAATGTAGGGACTCTACCAGCTGCTAAGTATACCTACTCTAATTATGCATTCTAGAACTGGAGGAATGACCACAGGATGAGTCTGGAGAACCACTGTGAGTCAGGCCTAGGGTAAAACTCCATAGATCACCTAATCCCCATAAGTCCCTACTCTGACTAGAGTGCCACAGTGACATTTTAGGTCTCCTGGAATCAGTATCAGTTCAGAGCCAGTGTTCGGCAGTCCCCAAAAGGTGACTAGCTCTTTTCGCAAACATATAGTTTGGGGAGAAAGATTAACAGTATAATTTTCAGTAGTATATTGGGGTCCTTCCTGGAAAGGACCTGGCCTCCCTGTTTATTCAGGTGAGTTCTGGGCCTAGAGACTAGCTCAAATCTGGGAATTGATTTAGGGGTCCATGGTTCTCTGTTTTTATGATTCAACTGAGAATTTATGATCACTTGACCTGAAAGTATGTTGTTTATACAGATTATTTATACAGTTAAGTTATACATCCACCTGTTAAGAAATTCTGATATGGCTCGGCGCCTATAGCTCAACCGGCTA